TGAGCACTGTTGTTGTTTTTTAGTTTAATTGTTGGTCTGAGATCAGCATTTTGTTTTTGTTTTATGTCTTTGATTTCATTGACATGCTAGCGTTTGGGGCTTACAGTTTTCATTTTCTCGCATCTGTTTGGATTGTCGACATGGCGATTGAGGCGGGACTACTACTGCTATTTTTTTTTTGTGCGTTGCTGTCGCAGGATGTTGCAGTATGGTGTGTTCGTATGCGAGGACGTTGGAGCTATTAACATGGCGTCTACCTTGTACATTGGCAACCGAAAACTCTGTGAGCGTCTCCGTCTTAGTATTTATTCTTTAGCATAAAGGTCAAATTCTTCTTGCTGCTGAAGACAGATGTCATGAGACACGTCTGCAACTGTGCACGCCTAACCTCTCTCCAGGAAATGAAGAATTTGAGTACAAGAAGCCTTTTGCCGATGCGACTTTCTTGGTCTGTGAGACACAAACTGTGTCAGGCCTGGAGATAGCTATGCTACTTTTTGTGTTCTCTGCGCCATGTCTTTGTTTTTTGATTGGACAGGACAGGAGGGAAAGATAATGATTGTGGAATGCCAAGATGTTGCTACCTCAGCTGTCACCAGAGACTTTCAGTGTTTCTTGAGTTTAGCCAGTCTGAGATTAATCTCAGGCTGAGCGGCAGCTGACTTGGCACGCGTATGAGGGCCATTGGGGCCCAGGTCGCGCTTCAGTCGCGAAGGAAAGGCTGTGTTTTAGATGTCGGGGTAGCAATGTTCTGCACGCTGGGTATCACCAATGGGAGATCAACAACACAGAAGATGGTGCCCAGCCTGAATCTTGGTCGGAATGGCCAATGAGTTGCAGGTCTCGGTGGACCTAAGTCAGAGATCAACCTTGTCTGAGATCTGCCGGTGTCAGAGATCAGCTTTGTTTGAGATCTGCTGGCCACAGCACATCGTTGTTGACCTCACATGGCATGAGGGTTTGCCTTGTCAGAGATCAGCCTTGTCTGAGATCTGCCGGCCACGGTACAGCGAATTTGTTTTTGATAGGTTCATGGCCTAAGTCGGAGAGACCTGCACGGCCGGAGACCTGCCGGCGCCGTTCTTGACATCAATTTGTTATTGATGGGTTCATGGCATTCTTGACATCAATTTGTTATTGATGGGTTCATGGCATGGGTTCATGGCACAGCACATCGTTTCGTTCGTGGTTGACATCAATTTGTTATTGATAGGTTCATGCCTTAAGTCAGAGACTTGCCCCGCGAGAGACCCGCCGGCGCCGGCACACCAGGTCATCTATGAACAGATTGGAGGAAAAATCTGCTGTTTGAGATCAGCCTCGCTTTTGTCAGAGATGAGCTTTTTTGTTACTCAGCTTTGTGTGAGATCAGGATTGAGATTCTGGAAAGGTTTTGCTTCATCATATGGCTTTTGGCCCGATGTCAGCTCAGTCTGAAATCGACATTGTCGGACATCAGCATTGAACAGCATTGAGATTCTGGAATGTGTTTTCATCATCAAATGCCTTTTGTCTGAGGCCAGCTTAGTTTGGAATCAGCATTGTTTGAGATCAGCGTTCACATTCAGGAATGGTTTTTTTCTTCATCATATGACCTTTCGCCTGGGTCAGCTTAGTCTGCAATCAGCATTGTTTGAGATCAGCATTCATATTCAGGAATGGTTTTTTCTTCATCATATGGCCTTTCTCCTGGGTCAGCTTAGTCTGGAATCAGTATTGTTTGAGATCAGCATTCATATTCAGGAACGGTTTTTCTTCATCATATGGCCTTTCTCCTGGGTCAGCTTAGTCTGCAATCAACTTTGTTTTTGCTTCATCTCACGGCTCAGCTGTCAGAGATCAGATTTGTCTGAGATTAGCTTTGTCTGAGATCAGCTCGTCTGAGATCAGCTTTGTCTGAGATCAGCTCAGTCTGAGCTCTGGCAGTTGTCTCTGATGGCGGGCGCTGACCGGTGGCCGAACTGCGCCTTCACAATGGATGATGTGAATTCATTTTGCCAAATGCTCATTGCGCGAAGCTCGACCGCGACAGTGAGCGAAGGTTTGCAAGGGCAGCTGGAGCATCTTTGGACCCTTGCATATAACAATGAGGAGTTGGAGACCGCCAGGATCGGTGTGACTCACGTCTTGTGCAGATTGAGAAGGTGGATGACCTCCTGGACCCTCTTCCAAAGCTTCTTGATGATGTCTTCGAGATGAAGAAGAGGAAGGAAGGGGAAGTGAATTCCCAAAATCCAGAGAAGGCAATCGAGATCAGAGGCACAGGATCTCAGATAGTGTATTATCACTCTCGGTGATCAATGGTGGAGATTGCAATTGTCCCATCACTTTTGGAGGTCAAGCGTATAAAGAAGCCCTGGAACAAAGTGTCAGGGGTGCCAATTCGACTGTGGAAGGAGTGGCTTTGCAGAGTTGGATCCGAGACAATTTGCTGAGTGTGGATTCTTGGTACTCCGAAAAGTTGAGTGTCTTGACTTTGACAATTGAATGTCCTGGTTGTGATTTCGTTTTTGCGAGCGTGTTTGTGTTGGTTTTGTTTGGGTTCCAGTCTGAGATCAGCAAAGTCTGAGATCAGAGTTTTTTGTTTTTGGTCTGTAGTCAGTTCTTGCTCTTTTGAGGCTTCAATCTCTTCATGAACCGCTACTGTTTTTCCAGAGACCATGGCATTGCAATGCACAGCGATGCATCCCAAGCATATGAGGAGTGTGACCCCATCGCATCGCTTTCGATGAAGCTTGGCTCCTTTTTGTTGGTGAGTGCCAAGCAAAGGAGGAAGCGAGGAATGAAGGAGAGGTGGTGTTTGGTTATTTACCAGCCGCCCAACTCCATGTTGATCATGGGCGGGAAATTCCAAACGGAGTTCGAGCATGCAGTGCCCACTTTCGCCTCCATTAAGAAATTGGTGGAGTGTGTTGAAGGCGAGGTGGTCACATGGATGGAGCAAGAGCCCCCCGATCAAGATTCTTTGGTTCAGAAACGCGAAAGAAATGATGGAGGCAGAGTTGCGAAGACTCGAGAGTCTGAACCTTCAGGATTTGAACAATGCCAGGTG